TTTTAACCAAACTATGTTACAGACTTTTCATTAAGACCCTAAAGAATCATATCAACTTGTGGAAAATGGGCATCCAATGATCCCTTTAATATACATTTAAGTCTACAATCTAATAAAAGTAAACAATTATTTATAAAAAACAACTAGGGAATTCAAAAGCCTCTCTATAGAGTCCTATACATTATACACACTCAAATGAATTGGTCTGGCTATAACCATATAGCCAAACTGAGCCAGAAGACTGAAATAAGAGGTTAAAATCAGATCAGACCCAGAAAGATTAAGCTCTGATAAAGCATTCCTGTTAATTTTTGTTACATTTGTATAGCATTTTAATGTTTTGTGTAACAAAATGTTTTCTGTGTTCAGGTTTGAATGTAGTAATAATAATGCAAAAACCTACACTTGAAAAAAAAAGTTACATTTCAGGTGTCCGGTCACTTTTGAACGCAAAGACCATGAGTGTGACTCCCAAATGAGGAGTGCACAATTAATTAAGTACATAGTACATACTAGTAAAAATCATCATTTTTGATACCAATAATTACGTGGTTGCTAATGGAAATGCTATTCTTGATATCAAAAATTTAATTTCTGATAGCTATATGTAATGTGATTGTTACTAGTAAAGCCTACTTCACGTTTTACATGTACACGAGGGTCAGCGTACAATGGGCTTTGCATGAATTTTAACATCAGAATACTAAGCAAGTACTTGATATCAAGAATTACATTTTCACTAGTTGAAATACTAATTCTTGATATCATTTATTCAATAAATCATCTGAATATTCTTATATTTTTACTAGTAACAAAGTAATTATTGGGCTGCTATGTTTACCTGGACTTTTCACTAGTAAGAAACTCATTTTTGATGTCTGTAATTAAATTTGAATGGCAGATCATTGTGATATTGAAAACACGGCTACAAATACTATATAAAAGAAGGCAAAAATAATATTTTCTACTAGTCGAGATGTAATTTTTGATATCGAGAATTCATGTCTTTACTAGTGGAAATTAAATTCCTGATATCAAGAATTACCATTGCTACTAGTAAAAATGTCATTCTTGATATCTTGCAACAATTATCGTTTTAACTAGTGAACATTGAATTGTTGATCTCAAAACTTCACATCCTTAGAATAATTAAAAGTCAGTTTGGCATTCCATACCATTAACGGTTGCTAGGGTGTGCTTTGCTGTTAGTGACTTCATTATTAAGGAAACAAGGAAACAATGTCATATATTAGCTCCACCTTTGTACACCTCAATGATCTTGATAAGTGAAATTTAACAACTGCACATATACACATTTGCCAAATTAAATGTGTGGTAGAAAAAAAAATAGTTTTATTAAATGTGAGGGGGACAAGTGCCCTTTGTCCACAGAATTTAAATAAAAAAGCTTTCATTTTCTGAATATTCTTGTTTTAATGTAGATTTCATAATTAAATGGATTTGTCACGACTTTTACTTATGTTTCTTTTTAGTGCTGTTTTCATTGGTTGAGAACAGGCACCTGGTCTTTGTTGGTTGTTGTAGTTGTGGGTTTTCTGAAGCCTTTGGAGTATTGTCTCCACGTTTAGGTTTATCTTGTTTATGACATAAAATGCTGCGGCAAGGAGGATTTACAGGATTTTTATGATTGTGCATCTAAAAAGACTTCATATCAGATACTGTGATTGGTGATTATAATTAGTTAACCCTCAAAAATCCACCAAACACGCAAAAAATCCCAGGCAGCAAAACATTCATAGTTTCATTCTTGAGGTGATGTCTTGGTAATCACAATGAATACATTGATTACAAAATGAAAGTTAGGAAGCAATGGTTCCCGCTCAGGGTTGATTACAGTTTAATTTGATCACATGGTAGATAAGTGCTATGGTTACTTCATGT